ACTGAGTAAAACTTTAATTGCAAGGTGGGTTGAATTCTGTTTGTTACAACTGTTCTTGGAATTGGAGATTACAAACATAAAGAAAAGATCATCGAGACTTCCCAATCTAAGTAATTTTCCCTGAAATAAATTGAAAAATATGCTTTAATATAAAAGTACACCCTGGTGCAGCTGGTTGTATAATTCCTATATATATTTTGCAGGAAACTCTATACCCTTCTTTTTTAACAAAACAGCATACATACACAGAAAAAAATGGTTATATTTAAGTAATATGTATGGCTGGCCACTTAGAACAAATTATTAATATTTTGCACATGCACAAGAGCACTTCACTTACAGGGAAAATTACTGTACTCATTTCACTGCTGTTACCAATGTGCTTACATTGTTCTTCCCCACTGCATTCCTATCAGCACTAAGAACTTAGTTTGCATTCAGCTGCACTGAAGAGAGCTGGCTGAAGTCAGGGAAGTGAGGGGAGACCTCACCACTCTGTGAAAGTACCTGAAGGGAGGCTGTGCTGACGTGGAGGTCGGTCTCTTCTCCCTGGTACGTAGTGACAGCATAAGGAGCAGACACAAGTTGTGCCGGGGGAGATTCAGGTTGGACTTCAGGAAAACTTTCTTCTCCAAAAGAGTGGTCAGGCACTGGGATGGGCTGCCCAGGGAGGTGGTGCAGTCACTGTCCCCAGAGGCGTTCAAGGAACGTTTGGACATTGTGCTGAGGGATGTGGTTAAGTGGGGAAAGACTGGTGATAGGGGGACAGTTGGACTGGATGATCTTGGAGGTCTTTTCCAACCTTGGTGATTCCATATCTAAGTCATATAAACAGAACTTCATCTTAATTATTTTCCAGTTTGAAAAATCATTCTTAACCTGAAGCAAGCAACGTTTCATTTCCTTGTTTTTCTCATTCTCTACCTACCGCTACAAAAGCAATTATCTCCATGACAGGTACCAAAATTTTGCGACATGCCTCTCTCTCCCTTCAACAACATTCAGCAATGCTTTTTGACAATCGATCAAAATTAGTCCAATATTAATTTTCAGCACAGTCTTCACAGACACTTTCACTTACTCATCTATTTGCTATTCAAGTTGAGGAGTAGGAGTCAGGCTTCATGGGGCTTCCTTTGATCTCTCCCCCGATTCTGAGTAGTTTCTACACTTATCTGCAGTCTACACACACCCCAGGCATCCAAAATCCAAGGTCACCCATCACCTTCCCTCTCTTTTGAAGATTCATCTTTTTATATGAGAATAGTACCTGAAGCTCAGCTTCTGCCTGATACCAGCATTTCGAGGTGTGTCCCCTGCAAAGGCTCCCAGTTTACCTCTCTGGCCCTTATAACCCAGTTTGCAGCTAACAACACAACCCAGCTGGCTGGGTACCAGGCAGAAACTGCAAAATTACCCTGTAGCTTTAGTACAAGTTCTTACAGCCTAAAGCTACATCCCATTTCCTTGGCCACCACAGAAATAATTTTATCATGGTGACTCCATTTCTCCATCCGTGAAACGAGTGCACTGATACATATGCAAACCCTAATAATAAGAGTCCCAAAAAGTTGAATGCATTTGACAAGTGTTTAATACCCAACTGAAACATCTCACTGACCTGTAAAAGCTTTTCCAGATAACGCAGATACTAAATGAAATTCATCATGGCAGTACTAACAACCATGGTGATAAATTAATCCAAAGAAATCAACAAGCAACAAGAATAACCCTACAGTAAATTCAGAGTGTGGCAGTTTTTCTCACATCATAACTCCTGGATAATATTCCCGCTTTTCTGTTTTCAGATAATAAACCTTTAAATATTGCACTTCAAGCTGCTCTTTCTGCTTTAAGAAAGCGGGTCTGTAGGGGAACTGTCAGATCATGGTGATTGAGCACCTGGTGAAAGGGTCTGTCTAAGCCAGGGAGCACAGGCAAACTGGTTGTACCTGTGCTCCTGGTGTGACCAGAGGGGGTGGAGGCACCCTGTGCTCAAGTAAAGGGCAGCCACAGAAGGGAGAGCATCTGTTGGACCTAGGCTGCTTCTTCTGAAGAAGTCTGGTATAGCCAGAGATCCCCTTCACCAGTTTGGACTCTTCTTTGTGTATATGACCACTTCATTACCTGCAAATACTCTGCCAAGTGTTGCACAGGACCTGTCAGAAACAATTCTGCTGCTTTGTGAGCAGAACAGGTCACAGCGAGCACTGCAAGCATGTAAAGTGTGTTTTTATGTTTACAAGCCTAAAAGGATATTTAGTACATTTGAAACTAACTAAATAAGTTAAACTGATGTGTGTCGTGGCTTCAGTGTATGCGCTGTCACTATTCTCATTGCTACAGTCTGTGAAACAGATCAATGGTAACGCTAATAGGATGGATCAGGAAGAAATGAGTAAACACAACTGCAAAGCATTGAATCATACTCCCTTCCCTATGACTGGGACTTGAGGTGGTGATTTCATTTGGAGCAGGATTGGGCTCAACTAGAAACCAGCATTTTCAGACTGAAGAATGATAAGGCCATGCTCACACACCTGTGCAAGGAGAGCTCAACACAGAAATGTCCTGTTAACTGCAGTGGGAAGGCTTGATGGTAAACAAAACTGAATAGATTTACTCCAGGTAAACACAGGAACAAGAGTAAGAAGGGTCAGCAGTTCTCACACTTCATGGGCATTAAATGAAACTGTCCTTCTACCTTTTGACTTATTTTTGCTGCTCCAAAAAATGAAACTGCAGCTATGCAGTCATGCTCGCTGTTCAATTCTGGGACATGTATCAAACCTGCACGCACAACAGCTTGACCCAGCACAAACTGAAGGCTAACAGTATGTAATGTAACAGTACCAAACCAGCGCGTGAACAGTTGAGCTCCTAATGTTCACAGCCTTGTCCAATTAGTGGTTAGGAATTAGAGAAATAATCAAGATACACTTCAGCATTTTTTGACTCAGAACATCTCGACAGAATGTTATACACAGGCAAAGCTACGTGGATAAATATACAGAAAAATACTGAAAAGAACATGGGTTAAAATCTTGTGCCAGTGCAAACATCCTGGGCTGTGTGTAATGTCAGGCAGCAAGCAAAATAACAAGATCTTGCTGTGAGAGAAAGGCAAGTGGTTTAGAATAGTTCCTCAGTATTGGTAACAACAAGGTCAGAGCCTGAGATGCCTGTGTCCCTTACACAGACCCAGTGGGAGAGCTGAGGGTATGATTAATGAATAGCCCACAACAGGCAGAGCAAAGGAAGAGCAGAGAAGGACGTGGGGAGGGTAGAATGGTGGTCCTGTTTGTTTGTAACACAGGAACAGTATGAAATAAACGCTGAAGGCATCATAATTAAATTGACAATTACTTCTTTAGTGATAACTTTTAGTGAAAACCAAATAGTTAAAAATAATGAAATATTCCCTTGGGAGTTGATAGATTTTTGTACTCAGTGTAAGCAGCAATTAGTAAAAGGATGACATCTGTATGTATGTACAAAGAGCCTTCCCAATGCCCACAGCTAGACGAACAAACACTTGGGCACAGAAAGCATCACACAGCAGAAGGTGTGCAACTCACTGGCTTCTTTCACCATGCTTCTGTAACAGGCATCCTCACAGCTGCTTACTGAAGGTAAGGGTTTACTGTTTTGTTTGAGACATGTGGAGCTAGCTGATGTCCAAGCAAGGAGCAGCCCGAGATTAGCACCTTTATCAAGTTCCTATAGTCTCCTATCAGATTTGCTCAGAAAAGGCACTGGTAAATCTACATGTAATCTTTGCTTCAGTCTTAAGAGGCAAAAAGCATAATAAAGAGCAGAGCTAGACAGAAGTTTTCCCCGGGGGAAGGGGCAGAAGAAATACTGAAAGAAATTGGAACGAATGCCAGCATAAACAGTACATAAATTACAGACTGTTAGGACTGACAAAAATCAGGACCCAGAAACCATCAGGAGAGACGTTCTGAAGAAACGGGCAAAGATGCAGGGGCGGGAAATACACTTCAACGCCCTTCAGCCTTTTCGTAAGCGAGGCGCTGTGACCCAGGGCAGCCTGGAGCAGCAGCTATTTGCAGGAGCGGCTGGAAGCGCAGGACGATGCCCGCGTGGTTACAGCCACAGACACGGCAGGCGTCACTCTCCGCTCGCTGTTTGCCTCCTGTGGGTGCGCGGCCCGTCCCTGCACACACGCGGGCAGCGCGAGGCTTTACGGCTCCCCGAGTCCCGCTCGCGGCTCCGGGCACGGCGGTCGCGGTCCCTGCGGGCGCCTCGCCCCGCTGACTCCGCCCGAGGGGCCCCCGGAGAAGCTCCGCTCGGCAGCCCTGCCTCGCCGGGGCGGTCGGGCGCTTCTTCACAACGCGTTTCCACGTTGGGATTCCCGGTCGCGGTGACAGGGCAGGGGCGGCGGAGCGATGCAGGAACTCAGCGCGCAGCTCTCCGGGGCGCCGAGCCCAGGGCAGGATTTCGAAGGGGTAAACGTACCTGGGAGGAGCGGCACCCGCGGGACCGCGTTAGGTTTAAGCTCGCAGGCGGCAGCTTCAAACCGGGACCACCCGGGGCGCCTTTCCCTGCCGCGCTCGCGGATCGGTAACAACATCGGTGCCGCCCGCAGGGGCACCTCCCTGCCGGGACAGCCCCGCGCCGTCGGGACGCCCTGGGGCGGCCCGTTCCCAGCCTGGCGGTTACCGGCGTCCCGCCGTCCCTCCGAGGAAAACGGCCCCGGCGAAGGGCCGGGCACGGCACCTGCCCCGCCGCCGCCGCGAAATGGCCGCCTCCCCAAGCGTGCCCCCCGGCGGCAGGCGGCGCTGCGCGGTCGGCTGGCGGTGGGCGGAGGGGCGCCGCGATGGAGCGGAGGGCGGCCGGCGACGGGGAGGCAGCGCCCGCGGTGAGAGAGGGCTGCGGCTGGCGGCGGCGGAGGGGAGCGTGAGTGCGAGGGGACGAGCTGAGGTGGCCGGGCCGCCGACCGCGCGGGTCCTGCGCGTCTTTTACGGAAAGGCGGCCGGCGGGGCGCAGCCGGGACCCCCGCAAGCCGGGACCCTCGCGCTGCCGGCTCAGTGGCGCGGCTCCACAGCGCTGAAGGTAACGGAGCTCGGCGTCATTTGGGGGGCTCGGGGACTGCCGGGCGGAGCACTTCTCCCCTCGTCCTTTTAGGGTGTTTCTCTTTAGTCCTAGAAATGGGGTTTCCTGGGCTGTCACTGGCGTGGGGTAACGTACTCTGACATGCGAGCGCAGACGAGCCACGCTCCAGGAGTTCGAGCTGAGCCAGCTCCGGCCGGGCTCCGGGATCTCTCTCGAGGTCTGGTCGACATTCGGTCGGGTTGCTGTATCTACGAAGTGCCGCGTACGGCCAGTGTGATTGACTGCGGATTTCAGTTCGGATCTTAAGCTCCGAGTGCGCGTGTCAGTTGTAGTGATGTTTGTTAGGCGTGTTACTAAAAGTTTGGGTGTTGACACGTTATCAGTAATAATGAATTGTAAATTGTGAAGCAAGGTCGAGGCTCTGCGTTGGCTGTGAACGCACTGAGCCGTGATGACATGCCCTCAACGCAGGGGTTGAGGTTTGTCCCAAACGAGATTGTTGTAAGACTCCCGATGGCCGTGGTCACCTTTCCCAGTGCCGTTCCCTAAGAGATGAGCTCTCTTTCCTGTGCAGCGTCAGTTCAGGAGTTACTTTTACAAGTAGGAGCTTTATGGCGCATCTTTTATTCCTGAGGAGGGTTGGCTGAGTCCATAAAATTGGCGGACTTCAGCTGAGGACTTATACTTGGTGCAGCCCGCAGTGCCAAAGTTGTTCAGCAGGAGAGGCTTCTTTCAGGTCTCCTTATCCACCACGCTGGAATTCCTTGAGGATGACCTTCAGAGAAAGAACTCAGCTTTGCTCAGAGGATCACATACCTCTTTTATTTGCTCTTTTTAAGTCTTCCCTAGAGCAATAAGTAGAGGGTATGGAAGGAAACTACGAGTGAACACTCAGCACTTCCTCTCCCTTATGGATAAGCCAGTAGACATTTGGCCTTGCTGTGGGTCCTGGAAAGGTTTCTAGCCAAGCATGGAAGATCAGATTTGGTACTGCTACAGGAAAATGTAAGGTGGGGGAAGGGATAGTATTCCTTTTTTGTTCCTCATTCTTTATGTGAAGAAAGGTTAAAAATTGGGCATGTGTGTTTTTTTTTTCCGGGTCACTTTTAGCTGTTTAATCAGTGTGTCCATTTCTCTGAAATCTCAAGACTTCTGCCTTTAACAGAATATTGCCTGATGTTTTCAGGCAGTGTGGATCTGAGATATTACTGCATTTGTTAGGAGATGAACAGCACTTGGCCATGTGCCTCTGGTCTTGTGCCTAATAATACATAGTGGGAGCAGTGTGTTAGCTGTCAATAAATGTCTGTCATCTCTTAGGTCTTAATTATAAAATGGTTTTAAAACGGCACGCAAAGGAAACTTTCAGCTCAGTACATAAATGTGGTAGAGCCCTGTGTATGAATACCACAGTGCCCCACATCTATCGGCACTGTATCCATTAATAAAGCCCTGATTTGTTTCTGGGGCTTCAGTTTCAAAGCCCTAAAATATGTGCAGTTTTCAGTATGGTAGTTGGGTGTGGGTTTTTTGTTGTTTTTTTTTTTTCCCTCCTTTAGCAGGTCTTTGCTTGTAAAACAGGTGCATTTCTTCTTAAAAGAAGATTCAGGCAGGGTTGAAATAGCAGTTGGATGCTTTTCCCTTTTTCTTTGCTGTCACGTTTGATTCCGAGAATAATTTCAGGACATTCTGAGGTTGCTGCTAAGTAATCTGTCCTGTATCAGGCACTAAACGCAGTACTGTCTGGAAGGGAACTGTGAGTCAAGCAAATGCTGGACAGCTTTTGATGTACTGTGGAAACCCTCTGTAAAAAAGTTGTACTTCTGTAGTGGAAGATCTGCTTCGCTTTGGAATCCTGTGCAAGAATAGCTGGTGGGAACTGCCTGTATAGTAGCTGACCTACCCTAGTGTCCTGCACACGCATGCTGTCTTTTGAAGTCTGAGTACAGCTGTTACCTTGTTAACTTGCTCCTGGCAATGATTTGCTTATCTTGAGCAATCGGGAGCACAAAAGAATTGGATGTGATTGCTGTGTCCTGCCTTTGCAGGGCAGAAAGGTGGGGAAGCATCTTGAGACTGAACAGAAGATAAAATACATTTTCAATTTGTGTTATTAAAGGAAGAAACAGAAAACAGGAGCAGTAAAAACTCCGAATGTTTTCTAAAGCTATAAATGGTCGAGGAAGCTGTATCGTATTTTAAAAACTATGTAGGTGCTCTGGGACCAGAATTATTGAATTTTTCTTACAGATAAGTCTCATTAGGGTTTAGAAACTTTGTCAGGTGTATACAGATGGTGAGGATCAAGATTGTTTTTTAAAAAATCTCCAAAAAAGTTGAAACAAGAGAAACTGAGAGACTCTGACTCAGTGCAACACGTACACTGCATTGAGTTGAGTAGCTTATTTGCTTAATTAAGGCATCCATTTTGAGTTATTTGACTTGCACATTTCCCTGCTCAGATTAATGTCTTCATCACAGTGATCGTTAAACCATTTATATTCAATGAACCTTCATTGCTTTTTTTAATCAGTCAGGTATCTTTAAGTATTCATAATAATCTTGATAACTTCAAGATGCTTTTCCTTCTTTTCTGGTGAGTTATCATTTATGTTCTTATTCTGCATCACAGCTGAACCCATATTCCATTTCAAGAGGCAGTTTAGCCACAAGTCATACTCTTGCTTCTATTTGTTTGCCTGGTGTCTCGTTGTGTGGAAGACCTTTTTCCTGCTCCTTGCTTTTGTTTTTCAGTGGGGTGAAGATACCGAAGTGAATTCAGGTTCTGTGTGGCGCGGTTGAATGTTAAGCAGAACCAAGATTTGAAAAAAAAAAAGTGTTTGAAGACTTGGCTAATGCAGGACAAGCAGTGATGGTTGTGTCTGGCTTTCACCTGACTTCCCAGAAGGACAGGCTGATGCTCGGCTTTGTGACTCACCATGAGAGAGGGGCCAGAGTCCCTCTGCTTCCTTGATGCTGCCTTGCTGCCCTCACCAAGTCAAAACTCATTTGTAACGTCATGCTAAAAGGCAGTGTGCTTTAGGATGAGGGCTTTACATTCAAAGACTTTCAGTGCTTCCACTAACCTTAGGTGCGTGTGAATACACTGAAGAGTGATTTCTGGAGCATTATTCCTATTAAATATTTAGAGTCTCTGCATCTTTTTCACCCTCGGGGGGGGGGAAAGAAAAAGGATAGTCTCACAGCTTCCTAACATGAGCTGACATCTCTGTTAAATGTTCAGGTTATACCAGCAGATGTGCCGTTTCAGAACTGTAATGATGATAAAATCTGAAAGTTCAAAGTGGAACAGACATTTGTGGTACGTTTTCCTAATGGCAGAAAACAAAAGGGAGAGTTTAAATGGCTGTAATTGAATCAGGTCGTTTTAACATCTTCCTACTCTGAGTTAGAAAAGGTGCCAAACAATCTCTTTGTCTTTCAGGATTCCGGATAACTAAATTAAAAGTAGTAGGGGTCATTAAAACTGTTAAATGTGGCGCCAGCTATTGAGAAAAATTAACACGAAGTGGCTTTGTTTACAGGATATCCACACAAATAATGGTTCTCTGTGCTTACTTGGTCAGCCAGTGCATTTCATTTTCTGAGCAATCTTGGCAGAACTCAAGTTTGTTGATAACAAAGGTTCCAACTAAGGTGTGTTAAATTGGAGTTCTACACAGCTGGCAGGGGGTAAATCAATATTAGGCACATGGAAAAGAACATGAGTGTTTAAAAGGAAAAAGAATTGTAAGGAAGATTCTAGGAATATTAAAGCAACAACAATTAAACAAAAATAAATACATTAAAAATGTATCCTTTCGGCATCACTACCCTAGGTGAAAAACCATGCATGCCAGTGATTATGGAGATTATTATATCTTTTTTCAGAGCTTTGAAGAAGCAAATACTGTTTGGACTGAGATGATCTGCACAAGGAGCTCTTTGAAAGATTAATGGTGTTGGGTTGAGTTAGAGCCATTTGCCTGAGCCCTCCATTGATGGCTCCATTAGCAGAATGAATAGACTGGTATCAGCTGGGCAAGAAATAAAAAATCAGCCAGTTCTGGTGCTGTCTGTGCTCAGGTTTTTGTGCCCAGGAGCTCAAGTGAGTAGCTGTGTTATGCTGCTTACACGCTTCTCACTCTGAACTGGATCTCGAACCCAGTGTCCACATCCCTGCCTGCACAGGTAGGAGCTCAAATCTGGGTGCATCAGGGATTTGGGGCCCCTGGAATGGTAAGTAAATTCAGTTTTCTGAGAAGAGCCATTCAGTATATACAAATATATATACATATATATATATATTAGTGTTTCCAGTGAGACTTTATTGGTAACAGCTGAAAATGAGGCTTCTCAGATATACAGAAAAGCATGCATTGTGTGTTGGCTGCAAGGCAAATTCCTCACATTTAATGTGTATTTACTGTATCTGAATTACAAGACATCTGTAATTTCAGAATATTTAGGAGGAGGACAGGTAAAGAAAAGAGGAAAAGTAAAACAGTCAGATTTAGAATTAAACTATCCTGCGGAGGTTCTCACAGCCTCGTCCAGTAATTCTTGTGGCAAACCTTTAGCCCTGAAAAATATCCCTAACGTCTTCAAGTCTCACTGAGTTCTAAGACTTTGGGATTGTTTGTCCAGGGCATTGAACAGAGCAGGATTCTGAATCTTACATTTCCATACATTATTTTCTTTTTCCCATCTAGAACTGAACTTAAGTAACTGTCTTTAAATCTTTGGCACATCAAACCAGCTTTGAATCAATGAAAAAACTGGTTGCCACTGATCTGACTGAAAACAGGTCATCTCCTAGGGTAAATCTGCTCATTGTTTGAGCTTGTGAGGATCTGTGTTATCTTGATGTCTCTCTCTCTTTCACCCCCTTCTTTGGCGCTGCCTCTCCCTCACCATGGCTCATCAGCACATGGGTTGTGAGCCCTCGTGTCTGTTCACATCACTGCTATGATGGGCTGTCATTGGCTTGAGCTGGAGCA